TATGAAGATCCGTGAACGCATGCTAGCGGGACCGGTTGAGGATTTCAGGGAGAGAGATGATGGTCTCTTATTATTTCGTGACCGAGTGTGTGTACCGTTGGATGATGAGCTCCGAAAGTCCATCTTAGAGGAGGCTCATTCATCGGCGTATGCCATGCACCCGGGAGGCACGAAGATGTACCGTGATTTGAAGGAAAGTTACTGGTGGTCGGGCATGAAGAGGGAAATAGCCGAGTACATCAGTAGGTGTCTTACTTGTCAGCAAGTTAAGGCAGAACATCAGCATCCGGCTGGGTTACTACAACCACTTTCCATTCCTGAATGGAAGTGGGAGCACGTGACTATGGATTTCGTGGTGGGGCTGCCACGGACGATTAAGAACTATGATGCCATATGGGTTGTGGTCGATAGGCTCACAAAGAGTGCACACTTTCTACCTATCAACACCACATATGCACTGGAGAGGTTAGTCAAGTTGTATGTGGATGAGATCGTGAGGCTACATGGGGTTCCTATAACCATTGTATCCGATAGAGATCCGCCATTCACATCACGATTTTGGCCGAAATTCCAAGAATCTCTGGGGACAAAGTTGAAATTCAGTACAGCTTTTCATCCACAAACGGATGGGCAATCTGAGCGGGTTATACAGATATTAGAGGATATGCTGAGAGCCTGTGCATTGGAGTTCCAAGGGAGTTGGGACAACCATTTGTCACTTGTGGAGTTTGCCTATAACAACAGTTATCAGGCAAGTATAGGCATGCATCCATACGAGGCATTGTATGGGAGGAGATGTCGTACACCATTGTGTTGGGATGAGGTTGGCATGGCCAAACTCGAGAGCACGGAATTGGTGGAGATCACCAAGTCTAAGGTGAACATGATTCGTGAGAGACTTAAGGCGGCCCAGGATAGACAGAAAAGTTATGCCGATAAGCGCCGAAGAGCCTTGGAGTTTAAGGTGGGAGATGAAGTATTTCTGAAAGTTTCCCCTTGGAAGGGAATCATCCGATTTCAGAGCCGAGGGAAACTTAACCCACGATACATAGGGCCATTCGTGGTTCTTGAGAGGATTGGGGCCGTGGCATACCGATTACAGTTGACTCCAGAATTGGAGAAGATACATAACGTATTCCACGTGTCCGTGCTTAAGAAGTATATGCCGGATCCATCTCATGTATTAGAAAAACCACCCGTGGAAATACGGGAAGACTTGAATTATGTCGTGCAACCGGTGAAGATTCTTGACAGGCAAGTCAAGAAATTGAGAAGCAAGAAAGTTCCAATGGTTAAAATACTTTGGAAAAGTGACCGAGTTGAGGAGGAAACTTGGGAAACGGAAGCTTTGATGAAAGAGCAATACACGTTTTTGTTTGAATGAGCGTTGTGAATTTCGGGGACGAAATTCCCGTTAAGGGGGGGTGAACTTGTGACACCGACCCCGAGCATATTTACTTTTAGTGAATTATGTAATAAACCTTGAAAGATGATTTATGAATTTGCGTAATTGTAAATTTTTATTATTTCTTTTACGTGAATAGTAAATTGCGTATGGGGCCCACAGCGGGAACGGGGACCGCCCGATAATTCCCGAACCACATATTATATTCATCTTGGTCTAGATAATATGTATATGGTGGTGGATATTTTATTTGGGCCATAAGAAAGGCATGGAGTTGACCGGTTGGTCAAATGGGGCCCAATTACCGGTATTGGTAAGTTAACGGATAACAGCCCGAAATGAGTTTCGGAGACTCCTAAATTAATGTTGGGGAATGTACATCTATTCTAAAGGCCCATAATTATTAGGAACACGGGATATATTTTATTTGGCCCGATAAAATAAAATATGACTAAAATAGTCCGAAAAAATACAACTTTCGGGGTCGATTGTACATACCGGGACATAATGGGATGACCTCCCACATGAGTGGGGGCCACCCCACGTTTTTAGGAGTGCTGAGTGACCAAATAACATGGGAGGGACGGATGATGGAGATGGGAAGCCTCATGGAGACAAAAACCCACACCTCATGTCCTCTCTTAGTACTATTCTTGGTCTTTGATTGAGAGTAGATACATCCCCCTCATTTTGAGCCATACACGCAGAGAGAAAGGGAGAGTAGCTCTGGAGGAAAGCTCTCACAAAGCTCAAGCAAGGGGAGAAGAAATCCGAGGAGAAAAGGAGGGTGTTTAAGGTAAGAACATAACTATTGTTCTTTAACTAGTTTTATGGAGTATGATTTGTAAGAAATCATATGGTGGATTAAACCTTGAGCTCTACACGTTTAAAAGTGTAGAATATTGTTATAAAGTAGTGGTAATTAACTTAGAAGGGTTGGTAAATCGATAGGAGTCGAAACCGCCGGAAACCGCCACTCCAAAGGAGCTGTTCGTAGCTGCAGACTACAAAAGCAGCCCGGCTTTCGTGAAAGCCGCCCGGCTTTTGCCCAGGCAGTCCAGTTTTTGCCTTTCATCGGTTTAAAACGAGGATTTATCGGGGAGCTCAACGAAGGCAACTATTTCAGCGCATCATAAGGTGAGGATGACTGAGTATGTTGCCTACCGAAGGTAATTTCATGAGATTACCGAAGGTAATTAAAGGTATTTTTATGGATTATTAATGATTAATAATGCCTAAAAAATGACAAGACTAAATGTCTAAAGCAAAAGGGAGCATGATATACCAATTTAAGAGTAAATTGTGTATGTTCATGTGCTATGAGTATGTTGGCTTGAAAGTGGAATTTATTATGAAACATATGTTGAAATATACTTTTCTTCATATTGGAATATATGAGTGATTAAAAGTGATATTTTGAATATTGAGATAAATGATATTTTCAAAGGAAAATCAGTTGGAATTGTCTATATGACTATGAGTTGAGAACTTGGTTTGTTGATATTAATTTGACTAGTATTAAGATACTAGTTGGACATTAAAATGAAATGTTGTTAAGATTGATCCTAAGGTTGGATTGTGAAATGTTATGCCTTAAGTAGTCTTAAGAGATGCTTTAAGGTAGGAAAGTATGAACTTTAAGTTATACTAGGGGTAGGCCTTAAGGGATACCCAAGATAATGTAAACATTAAATTGATCCTAAGTATAGGATTGGCCTACGGGTGTGTTCGGTAATCCTTGTGGATAGCCGGTTGAATTATGGAAATAGTAAGGATCATTGCCCTTCCCGACTCTAGAGAGCGGGGTTGGATAGCATGGACTTACATCGTGATCACGGGTTAGGGTGGAATCCGAATTGGAGACCTAACTAGGTTCCGGTAGCGGTAACACATAAGATAGGACCCCGAAGGGTCTTACCTTCCTACGGGATGATGAGTATGAGTCCAGGGGCGGGATGTTGGAGTCCGAACCGGGAGCCCCATGAGGTCTCGGACAGCGGTAACAAGTCCCGTAGAAATAATAAGACCCAAGGGTTGGGTTGTGCAAATGATAAATGAAAAGGAACATATAAGAAGGGCCGTGTGCCGACAAATAAATAAATTTACTTATTATAAAGATAATAAGTGGGAAATATAAAGTATTATTTATATTATGATATCACCCTATTTTGAGGGTCTTGGAAATTAAAACGTTGATTATACTTAGTATAGTTGCTATTGTACTTGTCAAATATTTCCAAGTACTGACCTCCCCTTCACGGGGGAGGCCACCTCACAGTTTCAGGTAGGACTTGAAGGTTGCTACCAGTGCCCGTTGCTCGTGATATTCGGAGGAGAAGACGTGTTTCGTGCTCCTTCTGTTTTCTGATTTCAAAACAATTATAATAATGCTCATGGATATTATTTTGAATAACTATTGGGAGGTTTGCATGCCCATGTTTGCCAAAGTGTGGCTAAGACACTTTTATTAAATGCTTCCGCTGTTTTAAATGAATGTTTTACATTATGTTTGTTTATGAATGTACTATGTGTGAATGATATTCATGACGCCTTGTATAGTATGGATGAGTTGGACTGCGGTTGACTATTCGTACTGTACGGCGGGTTGTTGACGTGTCCGGCTAGGTCCGGGGCGTGACAATTTAATTGGTATCAGAGACTTAGTCCGTAAACATTATAATGAAGCTTCAAAATTCTTTTTGAAAGTGAAATTGAAAACCATGAGCATAAAGTTTTGTACTTATAGAACTTTTGGTACTTGAGTTGCAATGTCTCTAATTGTTAAGATGGTACCCTTAACAATTGGTATGGCGGTGATTTGAACCAAATGATGTCTTTAAGTGCTTATCCGTCAATTGACATTTGATACGAGTCTAATGACTCATTCTAAATTTCTTTCAGAAATGGAACGTACCGGTAAAGTTACTCGACAGAACCCGACTGGCCAGGCACCGGGAGGATCCCAACGTGGCAGCCGGGGAGGGTCGAGGGTGTCTCGGGGACAGGGCCGTGCAGCCCACTCACTGACGGTGAGTGACGGTCTTGTGGAGACGAGTGATGAACAATATGAGTCCGAGGAGGATTCAACTTACCAACCGGGAACAGAGCCGGTTGAGACCCCATATGATGGGGAATACGATGATGCCAGTGACGAGAGCGATGATAATGAAGCTCTCGAACGGATTGAGGAATTGCTCCGGCAATACCACCAGGATCGCCAAAGGCGCCGGGCAAGGCGTGCTTTGGAAGGGGCTTCAAAGAGAGGAAGCCGTGTGACTCCCCGGGAGGTCATAGAATCCCGAGGAGGGGGGGGGTGCTGAGGTCCCTATAATAAGGATCTCAAAGTATCTCAAAGAGGCAAGAGACTTGGGATGTAAACCGTTTGATGGAACGGGGGACATCTCCGTAGCAGCCGAGTGGATCAAAAGATTCAACGAGGCGGCCCTCGACATGCAACTACCACCCCACATGAAGCTGAGAGTAGCCACGAGGCTACTAGAAGGCATGGCGTCTAAATGGTGTATATAAGAGAAAATATCATAATGCAGGAATATTTCACTACATGGAAAGGACCCCCCCCCCCCCCCCCCCCCCCCCGTTCTGTACAAATTTTAGTACACCAGACATTTATGTTCTCTTTGCCGTTCAATTCACTACATATCCCACATGAACGGATGTTGCAACAATTGCTGTGCGTTCCACCGTTGACTCCACTCCTTCTGCAAGCACCGATCCATGAAATCTCTGAACTCACCGGAAGCTCCCTCCGGCAAACTCGGTGGCTCCCCAAAGCATATAGAGCACATTAGCGTGGCCCAATCGGGTCTCTGCTCAGGCTGCAGCAGGGGAAAGTGGCCCGTATACAGCTCCATCAGAGTCAGCCCCAAGCTCCAGATGTCCCCGGCGTACGCGTCGTAGTTTGCGCCGTAGGTCTCCGGGTCGAATCTCTCCGGGCTCATGTAAGCACAGGTGCCGACGAAGGAGTTGCAGGGGTCCAGCGTCCGGCGCATCATTTTGCTCACCCCGAAATCTGCGATTTTCACGTCGCCGCCCCGATTCACCAGCAGATTTGAGGGCTTCAGATCCCTGTGAACAATTTTGTGCGAGTGAAGGTAATCTAGGCCGATTAGTACTTGCTTGGCGATTTTCGCGAGGGAGCACTCGGCCAATGATTTCTCCGATTTCAGGACGCTTTCTAAGGATCCGCCGTCCATGTACTCCATCAGAATCGCGATGTCGCCGCCGGGCATCTCGACTGTCCCGTAGCACTTGACCACTTGTGGCGAGTCCGTGCAGCGCAGGATCGAAATCTCGCGGAGGATCTGGCGGCGGACGGCGGGGTCACTGTTGCCGTGCACAACCTTCATGGCGTTCACCGTCATCGTCCGCCTGTGGCGCACCTTGTACACCGTTCCCCCGTTGCCATGGCCGAGTACTTGGAGCTTGTCGAAGTCCAGTATCGACCAGGACGCTGCGGTTGAGGTAGACACTGAAGAGTGAGGGAGAGGATTGGGGAAGCGACACCGGCGGTCGGAGGGTTCCGGCATGGGGAGGCTGAGTTTGATGTGGCGGCGTTCTCGGACGAGTGCCATCTGAAACACGTGGAGAAATTATTTAATAATATTTGTTGCATTATAAGAGAACACTCGATCTGTTGCTGAGAGGTTTATATGAGTGGCGGATGGCATTAGCCGCCGGGGAGAGGAAGGTGTGAGGAACGAGGACAAGTATGGCGGGACCCGTAAGAAGGGCATAAGGGTATGGATGGTTTTAGTTGGATGGTAATTCCTATTATAAAAATACAAAGAAACCAGATCAGATCAGACCAGACCAACAAATTACCATCCAAGTAAAAACATCCTATGTATCCGGATGATCTGATCTTGGGTTGGGAAACCGAACACAAAACTGGAAATCCACAAATTTTTACTTAAGCAAAATCAAACCAAACTAAACCACAAATTTTATGTTCGATTCGGTCAAACCAAACCAATTTGCCCAACCTTAACTAATACTATTATATTATTATAATTATTAGCATCATTAATATTATATTTATTAAACAATTAGTTAAAAAGAGGTTCTGAACCGACCCTGTTCGGTTCCGAACCGGAACCAGCGGTTTTGGTTCCCATTTCTTAAAAAAAGAAAGGAATTAGTACACGTGTGTTTCCAAATTGGAGGTACTGGGCATGTTAGGCAATCAGCAGCTAGCGGCTATCGATTGAAAGATTATGTTAGTGGGTTGTTAACAGTGGACTCTGTTAGCGGATTTGACTAGTAGATTCATTTGGCAGAATGCAGAATAGTGTTTGGTAGATTAATTGTTCTGTCCCGGCGGTTATTAGGTAAAAAGACATATGAGTACGTGCATTAATAAATTTTAATATCCATATTTTACTAATGCAATTAATGTACTGTTGGGGTTTAATCCTGTAGATCCGAAAGCCCAACACAGACTTTGGATATATCAGGAAATGGACGATAATTCGATGTGTAAAAGAAATATAAAAGACAGATAATCGAATGCTCAAAAACCCACTTGTATTAATTAACCTGTTTGATTACAAGGAAATAATCCGAACGGCACGTCGGATTGATGCTTAATACAAGAAACAAGAGCAATAAGGCTATTCTATGGTTTGAGTATTAAAATGCTAACCCTTACAATGATATTAAACCTTCTATTTATACCAATGGAGAGTATGGGACGCTTTATGCTGATTGGCCGATGTTCCACCGACCTGATCACTCATGCCCCCACTTGCTGATGTCGCAATCTGGCATTAAGTGCACCTGACCACCTGCTGGTTGTCCGTTGCTCGAACGAGATAATGGACCCTGTAAAACATTGTTGATTTGGCCCAAGTATGATGTTTGACCCGAAACCCATTCGGTATGTCTGTTTTTTGGGCCAGCCTTTACTTGGCCCGAACCTCGTTCGGTATGAATATCTCACTAGGCCTACTTATCATAGGGTAGTGGGCTCGTTGTTTGGGCTAGATATCATGGGCCTTTAATCCGGGTATTGGGCTTCCGGGCCAATATCCCAACATGTACTATTTATAAGAAGTTCGAACTATTATTATGTTACGGATTAAAATGTGACTCAATAGAAACACAATGATACAAAAATATCAATCTAATAATCGATAGCACATATTTAGTCCAAAAGAAAACTACTAATTTCATAAACCATCATCTTGTTGGGATTTTGGGCTCCCAACAATGTGGAGAAAGGCCCAAAAATATGTACTGACAATGGTGGTGAGTATTGTGGTCCGTTTGATGTTTATTGCAAGTTGCATGGTATTAGACATGAAAGGACTCCTCCTAAAACTCCTCGGTTGAATGGTTTAGCAGAGAGGATGAACAAGGCATTGATTGAAAGAGTTAGGTGTATGCTTTCTGAAGCAAAGTTACGTAAGCATTTTTGGGGTGAGGCATTGTACACAATAGTGCATGTTATTAATCTGAGTCATGCAGTTGCTTTGAATACGGAGGTGCCAGACAAGGTTTGCTTTGGCAAGGATGTCAAGTATGATCATTTGCGAGTCTTCGGTTGCAAGGCATATGTTCATGTTCCAAAGGATGAGAGATCAAAGTTGGATGCAAAGACTAGACAATGCATCTTTATTGGTTATGATCAAGATGAATTTGGCTACAAGTTATATGATCCTGTTATGAAGTTCATAGAAGATCAAACCATTGAAGATATTGACAAGATGGAGAAGACTTCACCTGAGAAAGATAATAGATTTCCTAGTGGGTTTGATATTCCTTTTGATGATGCTGAAGAGGAGCATGAGATGTCACAAGATGAGAATCATGGTGATGCTCCTGAACCACCGCAAGTCCAACTCTGGAGGTCTAACAGACATAGAACACCATCTACAAGGTATCCTTCTGATGAGTATGTTACCTTGACAGATGAAGGAGAACCTGAATGTTTTAACGAGGCTATGGAAAGTGAAGAAAAGAAAAAGTGGCTGGATGCAATGCGAGATGAAATGAAGTCTTTGCATGATAATCACACTTTTGACTTAGTGAAATTGCGAAAAGGCAAGAAAACCTTGGAAAACAGGTGGATTTAGAGGGTGAAGCATGAAAGCAACTCTACATCTCTGAGGTATAAAGCCAGATTGGTGGTGAAAGGTTTCATACAAAGAAAGGGTGTTGATTTCAATGAGATTTTTTTCTCCTGTGGTGAAAATGTCATCCATTAGAACTGTGTTGAGTTTGGCTGCTACTCTTGATTTAGAGGTAGAGCAAATGGATGTAAAAGTAACTTTCCTTCACGGTAATTTGGAGGAAGAGGTTTACATGAAGCAACCTGATGGTTTTCTTGTTGAAGGCAAGGAATATTGTGTGTGTAGGATGAGAAAAAGATTATATGATTTGAAGCAGGCTCCGCGTCAGTGGTACAAGAAGTTTGAGTCTGTTATGTGTGAGCAAGGCTACAAGAAGACTACTTCTGATTACTGTGTCTTTATTAAATAGCTTGCTGGTGATGATTTCATTATTATGTTATTGTATGTTGATGACATGCTTATTGTTGGGGAAAATATTTCCATGATTAACAGGCTGAAGAAGCAATTGGGCGAGTCATTTGCCATAAAAGATATGGGAGATGCTAAGCAAATTCTTGGTATAAGAATTATGCGTGATAGAAAAGAGAAGAAACTTTGGCTATCACAGGAACACTACGTTAAAAGAGTCTTGCAAAGGTTCCAGATGGAAAATGTTAAGTCTGTAAAAACTCCTCTTGCTACTCATTTTAAATTGAGTGCTAAACATAGTCCATCCAATGAAGATGAAAAATCAGATATGCAACGTGTTCCTTATGCATCTGTTGTGGGTAGTTTGATGTATGTAATGGTGTGTGCAAGACCAGATATTGCACATGTTGTTGGTATAGTTAGCAGATTTTTTTCAAATCCAGGTAGAGAGCATTGTAATGTTGTGAAATGGATTTTGAAGTATCTTCATGGTACTACTGGTTTGATGCTTTGTTTTGGAGGTGATAAGCCTATTCTAATGGGCTATACTAATTCTAACATGGCTGGAGACATTGATTCCAGAAAGTCCACTTCAGGTTACTTGATTAAGTTTGCAGGGTAAGCTGTGGCGTGGCAATCAAGATTGCAGAGGTGTGTTGCATTGTCAACTACTGAAGCGGAGTTCATTACCATTACCGAAGCATGTAAGGAATTGCTTTGGTTGAAGAAATTCTTACGCGAGCTTGGTTTTGTCCACGACAAATACTTGTTGTTTTGTGATAGTCAAAGTGCAACTCATCTTGGTAAGAATCCAACCTTTCATTCTAGGTCCAAACATATCGATTTGAGGTATCATTGGATACGTGATGTTTTGGATGCTAGACTATTGGAATTGTTTAACGTTCATACAAATGATAGTGATGCTCATATGATGACTAAGGCATTACTGAGGAGCAAGTTTGAGACTTGTTGTGAGATCGCCGGTTTGGCGATCATCTCCACATAGTTGTGAGGGGGAGATTTGTTGGGATTTTGGGCTCCCAGCAATGTGGAGAAAGGCCCAAAAATATGTCAAGCTCATTGGTCTCACTTTAGAGTGGAGAGGGGTCAAGTGAAAGGGTGCAGAGAGTAATTGGAAGAACAAGAAAAAGAGTGAGTGAGAAGAGAAGAAAACATTTCCGCACAACCCTACTGCTGCAACACGTTTTTCATCATTGCGACTTCGTTCACCGTTGGATCGGGCAGAAATATTGACAGCAAGTTCGTGACTTCTGGTACTTCAATCTGCACGGTTGGATTGGTGAGAAGGTGTTTGGAGTGGGAGAAATCGACCTCGCACAGCAGCAGCAAAAATCTAGTTTTTCTGATATTCTTGGTTCACAAATTTGTGATTTTTGCTTTGTTGTTTCACCAATTGTTGAGCACTATTTGTGCTATATTTGAGACTCTGTTGTACCCTGATTTGATCATAGTGGAGCTTGATTGACTGGCTTGTGCGCATGGTTTTTTCTTCTCACATTGAGAAGGTTTTCCACGTTAAAAATCTTGGTGTCCCTTCGTGCGATTTCATTAGCTGCTGGATTATTTGTTATTGCTCCTCTTAGATTCTAGGAAGTTGGGAAAATTGATTGTCTGCTGCATATTAGTTTGCTTGAGTTGTTATTGTGATGAATTTCCCATCACATCTTCCTATCAATTTCGGTTGAATTCTTATCGTTTATGACTTATTTTTATTATTAACCGACTTGCATATGAGTTACCAGAACTCAAATAACAATCAGCATTATATAGAATATGTTAGTCGTAATCTGGGCGCCCGTGAGCCTGTAATTTTTCACACAAAGCAAAAGGGTACAACTCAATCAAATGCAAATAGAGTCAAGGTGTAATTTCTTCTTTGGGTCATGATACAATAGTATGAATTTTAGAGAGGAGAGATTTATGTGTATACCTCAAGAAAATTAAAATATGTTCTATGAAGTCTCTCTTCATTGTCCTCTTATGGAGGGTAGCAATCACAGGGTAGGCCTTCAATAGAAAATGGAATTGAAGATGTGAAAGCAGTCTTGGCATTCCAATAATTATTTTAAAAAGCTAAGTTTAAACGCTCACACTTATAGCGTTTTGGTTTTCGGCGGATTCACCCAAAACACTAGGCAACATTTGCAGTCTTTGAAACCGTTGAACTGGTCAAACTCTCCAAATTTTGACTGAAACACTAGTTACCAAACATAACTACTATGCGGTTCTGGTTACGCTTTAACTCGAAGCAACGAACAAGCCTAGATATACATAATGACCTACTTGTTCTAATTTATAAATGTCCGAATTGAGTCGAAATATCGGGGCACAGTAAATGATACTGTATAGCCTAACCCGAATCAAGATGCAGATCAAATAAAAAACATTACTCCAATGAAAACTGCAAACCGTTCAATTTTTCATAGTGTGATGCACTATTAGATTTCTGTGTTACACTTTTACATATTGATAGAAAACTTTGGCTTGCTTAGGAAAATGTCATCGAGTTTTTAAATTTAGCATGATTTGACAGAAGTTCAAAACGGTGCAACATATCACCCTAAAAGTGCATTACAATCAAAAAAGTGAAAGAATTTCAATTTTGAAAGATAGAGGGTAATTTTTATTTAAATCCGAAATCACCGAACCAAACCACAAATTTGATCTAAGCCGTCAAATTAAGCAATGGAATAGTTTGAAAAATGTAGGCATGATACCATACTTCTCAACCCTGCAACATCTTTCCCCATTTAAGCAAGGAAGCGCTACTCAAGAAATACTACCAGTCCGTACTCAGGCAAGAAGGAAGAGAAGGACTTGTTCAAGCCCCCAAAATTCCTTTAAAGAAATAGTCATCAATCAATATCAAGAGAGAAGAATTGCACATAATATATATCAGCAACTGATGGCCTTGCAGTGGGTAATTCTAGCATACATCGTCGCGGTTGAGGCTGCCGTCGCTATTCTCCTGACCCTCCCGTCACCGAAGCCTCTCCGATCGCGGATCGTCTCTCTCGTATCTCTAACCCTTCAGCCTTTACTCTTTATCGTCCCCTTCGACGCTTTCCAGCTCCTTGGTAATGCTTCCTTGCTTCTCTTCTCTACCACACTTGCTCTTCTCATGATCTCATCAATTGTTCGCCATTGGTCTCGACAACCCAGAGCCTCCAATTTCCGTTCTCTTTGCTTATTTCGAGCTTTCGTTTTTGCTTGTTTTTTTTGTCAGATATCTATTGGAAGAATGAGCATCGTTTGATGTGCACCGGTGAGGTCTGTACTGCAGCTGAGAGAGATCGCTATGAGAAATCGGTAAGCTTTGCCAATTGCCACTGCCCTAGTTCGACCTTACATTTTCAATAATCAATTAGTTACCTTGAGTTTCAATTATTCTCACTCTGTCCTTCACATCAAAATTCATTAGTTTCATATAATTTTCAAATGCAATGAAGGCTGTCTATAATTATACACTGTTTATAATTGTAAATTCAAAGTGGGAAATAACTCATTCTCATTATTATAAGCTATAGTTGTGGATCATTTTTCCTTCTTCTTAGCTACTCGCCTACTCGTGAAGAAATGTTATTGAAAGTAACTGAGGACAAGGAATGCTCTTGACATACATTTAAAAGGATTCTTTAAAACATGGGGCTCTTTAAATTCTTAGAACTTCCTCTTCATCAATAAGACAATTAGTCATGACTGGTGGTCATAATTCATTCACCTCAGCTAATCTTGCTTAAATTTCTTCAGCAAATATCAATGAAGAAGAAATAAGGAGCAATAACTATCACTTATAATCATGATGATGGATTATTTTGACTCTTAATTGCTATAATTTAGACAACTTTCATCACATCTGATAATTATTTGAAGTTAAATGAGAGTATGAGATAAATGTTGATGGGTGGGGACTGGGGTGAACAGTGAGAAAGAAAAGCTCAAGGAGTAATTAAATGACTTTTGAAAATGCAAGGTTAAACTAGTAATTATAATCTAACCTCAGGAGTAAATGGGTAATAGTAATTTTCTTAATAATAAATTATTGTCTAGAATTCTTAAGCAACCTGAACAAATCCCCGATGAACGGATTGATTTGGTAAATCTGCTGCTTTATTATAGAAGCACACATATGTGAAGATTGGGTTGTTCTAATGAGCCACCATCTTTGATCCCATATACCACATATACATACCAAAATAGTTACTCTAAGGCAAGGGTTGAGTTATTGTTTACATTATACATTTCCTTTTATTCTGAATTAGAGATGCATTACTATTTTTCTAAAAGTACAAATATCTGTTATTATACATGATATCTCTTTTTAATTGCTTTGGTGTTATCTCTGGTGGGCGCTCCTCTTTCCTTTATGAACAATTGAACATAGGTCTACCGTCTGGCGTCTACTTTAGCAATTAATTATTTCCTAATCTTGACTTTATGGTTGAATTGGTTGTGAAGTATGTAAATCAAAACAAGGAGCAAGTTATAAATTACTCACTACTTTCTTCTTAGTTTGTGGTAACAATATGATTTATTAATTAAGAAAACTAATAGAAAGAACAATAACGAGGATATTTATAAAAGGTGATTGGAAGCATATTATGGAGAATTATTTATGTGACTATATATAACATGCACATATATAATTCCTTAAGTAGTTGATATAAGCAGATTCCATTAGTGATGGTAATAATACTAATAATACGTAGTCTACAAAATTAAGGCATTTTGTTAGGTCTCTCTGTTTGATGAATTGGGGTTTTCAGATATACAAGGCTCAAAGGAATGGCATCCTTTGTGTGGCAGGATGCCTTCTCTACTGGTAAAATGCCCTCATGTTTTGTTTTTATATTAATTTTGAAAAGCCACCTCATGCATTCCTTTTGGTATATAACACATTGGCTTTTTGTGTGGTTTTATTAGGTGCATCTATAGAATCTGCAAGTACCACTAGGACATCCAAAGAATGGAGGACACGGAAAAGAAAAACAAGGCCCACTAACCTCACTCTGCCTTAGCCCTGACCAGATCTTCTGCTTTATGTTTTACAATTGCAGTATGTTTGTATGATGACATGTTTCTGTTGTTATCTTTTCTATTATTTTTACTAAGACTAAAAGTCTCTACACTTATACTCCAAGGCGCCAACTGCAATCATGAGTATGCCATTTCGTAAACGGGAATTACTAATGTCTGCATCACAAGCTTGTAATATGTTGTTTTAAATTCGGGAAAAGGTTCAAATATACTATTATATTCCTTAAGTTTGGTCTCAGGTGCACATTGATTAATGCTTTTATAATACATCTAATGTTTAGTTGGGTTCAAATTAGTCTTTTCACAGTTTTCTGAGCTGATGGGCCTTTAAAGCATCATCTTAAACACCTCTTTCACTTGATTGTAAGTTAGGACTTTGGGATGTGTTAATGGTGTATTCGTTGGAATACTATACACATAAGGACCTCCTCCTGTGCTATTTGAAAAATGCGTGGTGTACACCTTTTGTGTACACAAAAGACACAAAAGGTGTACCCCAAGCAATTTGTATGTCTTGTAGTTCAGATATCGTATTATAAACTGTACCAAAAGTCCAAAAGTAACTTGTCATTTGTCGTGGACGAATAAAGGAGTGTTTGAAAGTTTGAATCTACTATAAATCGGAGCATAACTAGATATTGGAATGTTTGAGTGAAAGCATAGAAATTTAAATGCTTTAAATTGCTTTTAAAAGCAGCTTTTTTAGATATTTGGGGAAATTTAGCTTCTAAAAAACTAATTTTGATTTTACTTCTGTTTTTAAGAATGTAACTGTGTGGTTGATGTTTGTTTAGAAATCTTAAACACAAGGGTTTTTATATGAAGGAACGGCATATATATACTCCCTCCGTCCCTTAAAACTTTGCCAAGTTTGATCAGCACGGGGATTAATAAAGTAATAACTGTGTGGTTGAAGTTTGTGCAGAGGAGAGAGAATTAACTGGAACCACAAATTCTTCACTTAAATGGGAAAGTGGCAAAGTTAGTGGGACATCCAAAAAAGGAAAGTTGGCATAATTTTAATGGACGCGGGTAATATATAATATTACTATTAGACTTTTGAATTCCAAAAGTATTACTCTTTTTCCTTTTTCCAAAAAGTGACCCTAACTTAATTAGTTATTGGCTGCTGCGTATGGAGTATTTAATACCATGTTATCTCTTTCCATTTATCACACCAATATCATTTAATCACATTAATCTCGCCATTAAACTTATAGCCATTCTCAGCCTCCGTCGGTGTAAATTGTACCGTACAACCAATCATTTTTGTAATTAAATCTGCATCACCCCAACTCACCAATGAAGGGCGACAATCAAATCCGTGGCTCTATCCTCGTCTCTTCCACAAATATGCATGTCCGATCACTTACTCTTGTGCAATTTCACAAGTCTTGGTTGTTAATAACTCCCAAAAATTCTCGTTTCTTCCGATTATGTATGGAAGTCTCTCCCTTTCTCCATCACGTGCCGGAAGGAGCTTGAGAAACCATTTCCATGTTCCTCTCCGGTTCATATAGGTGTAACTGTCTCTAAGGAGCAAGAAATGCATTGAAGGAATTTAAAGGCAGCCCCCGATCTAGTGCTTAACATTGGCGTTCATCCTTACTGAGCCATCTCACATAAAAAAAACTTGGAGCAATTAAATCAAAACCATCAAAAAATGTCAAAGTAGAGTAACATCATTGGGGCATTGAACACTAGAATTGCTAACCTCTCTAAGTATAGCTAAGTGCACTTCATGAGTGCCCAATGCCAACATGATTACATTTGCATCCTATCAATAAGAAAGTGAAACATCTCTTAGAATGAACCTTACAAAGAGACAAAGAGATGGTTTGGAACGCCGTTTTGAGCAACAAGACCCCAACATACGTTTCAATCCCAGCAAAACAAATAGTATGAGAAATAACAACAGCAACTGACCGTTGACCCCAACCGTTTCTCCCCAAACAACATCCATTCTCCTAGAATTTTTAGAGCAATTAGCTATCAAAATTTGGTAACATACTAGAAATACATCATACTCCTCGATCAATGAATACGTTTACAGATAGGGTATCAAATTTTAATTAAAAAGTTCAGATTAAGTTTCAAAATATCCTGAATTTTAAAAGCCAAAACAAATTTAGAGGATGTACAGAAAGATAGAGATATCGAGCTAAAGTCTCCGTTCATCGACGGGAAATGCAAAGGAGAAGGAGAGAGATCACCTATTCAGCTCGTCAATCATTAGAGTAGGACGAAGTCGCAAGGACCTGAGGTCCTAAGTAGCGTCCGGCAAGTGGTGATGTTGTTCGGCGGTAGCTTTCTTCGAAGTCAATTAGCAGCCATCGATGTGCTTGGTAGACGATTGACGGGCGGTTGTGTCGTTCTTCGCAGAGGATCGATGATAGATGCACTCGATCGATAGTTGCACGCCCCTCGGCTCCGATGTTAGGGTTCTTCGAACGTAATTAAGAAGGCTGAAATTTCGATTAGAAGAGTTGAGAGCTGTTCTCTCACTAGAATTCTCTAGTTTCTCTTCTTCTCTTCCGGCACCACCACTCGCGGTGGTCGCCGGCGCCGGAGCTCTCCGGCTCCGGTGGCCTGGCCGACGTTCTTGTTTATGATTTTTGGGACTTCTATTCGAAGGATTCATGGAGATTGGAGTTCTTCTTCTTAGCTGAAAAGCCTCCTTGTCCGGAACTGGAAGAGCTGCCAGAACATGCTGGATTCATTGCCACCACCGAGTGACGGCCGTGGGGACTGAATTGGTGACGGAAAGGTGAAGGTGACGGGTCTGGTGTGCAACGGCAGTTTGGAAGGTCTGGACTGGGTCATGGCTATTAGCCGGAGAAGATGAACTGGTTTCTTTATCCTAAACTCAAAGGGGATTTCAATGGAGTTTTCTGGACGGAATCTATGGAGGTGAAGGTTGGTTTCTTTTGAGCTGGGTTTCAATGGCAGGACTGATGCTAGATGTTGCTGGTGGTTTCCGACGGCGTCGAACTGGTTTGGACCTTGGAGATGGAGTTCTTGAATGTACGGTTCATTGCCGTAGATCTAACCGTGCCGGGGTCATTGCGTGTGGGGGCACGTACAGTGACGAGGTTGGGGAGGTTGATGGACTGGTCTTTTGGGAGCTTCTGACCGGAGGTATTTTCTGGTTGGGTCGCCGGAAGAAGCTCTGGAAATGGAAGGTGTATGGTTTGCCCTGGACTCCGATTTCTGAGAGGCTACCTAAGCTCTGGAGATGACGTATTGTGTTTGATTGCAGGCAATTTATTTACCAGGTTCGGCCACCTTTTCCTCTCCGGGACTAGGAGGCTGCTCGTCTAGTTGGGATTACGTTTTAGGGTCTTCGGACGACCAGAAATACCTTGGATTACTCTGGGTTAGTGTTGAAAGTCCTTGATCTCTGTCTCATATGAACTCACCGGAAAACCAAGTCCTTGACATTAGCGGCGGCTAGTAGCTTTGTGTGTGGTTTTGAGAGGGTGGACTGCTACTTGGTGAACGGGTCATGACCTGGTAGGGATAGTGTAAGATGGTGGATTCATGGCTACGGATTTGATCTTAGGCAAACGGTGACTGCTCCGGCTTGGTTTCCTTCACCACCGTCATGCCTTTGCCGTTGGGGAGATGCCGGGACCCGACGGGGGTATGGAGGGTTGTGAGGGGTGGGTTCGCCGTCATCTGCGTATGGTGGCTTGGATTTTGGTTCGCTGGTTTGGCTCGCCGGGGATACGCCGGAGAAGACGAACGGAGCTGGTCGGTGGCAATGATGACGCGTCGACATCTTCTTGCTGATTGGCCACCCTGTCTTTTCCGCCTGGCGTGGTACTGTTCGATTGTTGACTTTTCTTTGGTTTCCCGCTCAACCAATGCGGCGCTCCAGCATAGCGATGTGCTGGGCTTTGGACTGGGCTGACACTTGGAACCCTAATGCTGAAGAGGCGCTGGGCCTTGCTGGAGACACGGGCATGCTGTGACATGGTCTTTTCTTGCTGAGGACATGGAAGTGCTAGGGATGCTGGGCTGCGATCTTTGGGCCGCTTTGAAATGGAGCTTGTTTATCGGCTGGAGTGCTTTTGCTGGATTTTTGGTGATTTTGGATGCAGGGAAGGGTTTTCATTGGGCCTGGACTGCTGGGAATTTTTTTTTTGTTGACTTTTGATGAATGAGCCGGGGTCTGTCCTGTGCCATTCTTGGACTGCGTTTTTGTGATGCCTTCGGGCTTTTGAAAAAATCTCCTCTCCCCCTACCCCTACCGTGAGGTGGGGTGGGGGAGAGGCAGGTACGGTTGATACTATTTTAGGTTAGCATGTTGACTTAGATAGTTTTCTAATTTTTGTGATGCATTGTACAATGCTATTTTCTGGATATATATACATTTACATTTTATCAAAAAAAAAGAAGGCTGAAATTTCTAAAGGAATAAAAGGCTGGGTAGCTAGTAGCTTAGGACGTGAATGTGTTAGGAACGAAATTATGAGCCAAGTGTGAAATGTAGGCTTGAATGTGTTAGGGTTGTTGAACTTAGATTGAGGCAACATAAAAAAATTGTGGAGGGAATTGAGAGTTGCAGGGGCGTTTACTCCGTAAAAGAATGTAGTGTCACTAAGCAATACTAATATATTTTTGTTTGAAAATAGTGACACTTGTATGTTAGTAATGTCATTTTATTAGAAAGTGTCACTATAAAAGTGTCACTATAAGCCAGTTTTCCAGTAGTGGATGCCTCCTGCAAATCTTTACGTCTCTGATGGTATTCTTCTTTCCCTCAGTTTGACATCATTAAGCTCCATGTGAGTCTTATCATGAATTGAAAGGTCTTTCAGAGTTTTTAATGGGATTTTAAGGAGTTCTCCTCCCATGTTAATAGATTCAAAAGATGCGGCAGTGAGATTCTCACCATTCTCTGTACCTTTAAGGCCTTGTTTGGTTCAAAAGAGGGGGGGAGAGTCAAGGAGGGAAGGGAAGGGAGAGGGAAGGAAGGATTTTGATAAAAATTTATGTTTGGTTGGAGGAAATAGGAGGAAAGGTTTAATAAAAATATTTTCGCAATTCACTTTTATTTGATAGTTTACTTAAAAAAATAGATACATGTCTAACTATTGTGAATAGTACTCCTATAGTCATGAGTCATAATTTTATTTTATTTGATTTTTTACTTTTTTAATTTTATATTTTTTAATTTTTCAGTTTGGAATTTTTAATTTTTAATTTTTTTATTTTTTATTTATTTTTAATTTTTAAAATTTTTAATTTATAATTTTTTAAATTTTTTAATTTTTAAATTTTTTATTTTTTAATTTTTAAATTGTCATCGCCTAGGAACGTAAATTGGCACCGACTTTTATATTATACATTAATCAAATTCGTTCCTCCTATTTGCATAAAGGGAGACAGATTTAGGGGCAAGGATGAACACCCCTTGGACTTTGACTTTTTTAAATATATAAATGATTATATATTCATAATTTTTTTCATACTTTAATTAGATATATATGTACTTACCCTCCTTAACTTGTAGTTTTCACCAATTTAATTAGAGCTCAAATTCTCGCATTAATAAATGTGAAAATGAAAGTATTAAAACTAAAAGGATTGGAAACAATCATAGCAGAAAAGGATTAAGGATTGAAACTCATATTAATGTATTCTGATTTGTAGAGGAGTTATTGCTTTTGTTTAAGGAGAATAAAATAAAATTCAATGAATGTATCAATATCGAATCATAATAAATTGCAGTGGGAAATATTATCATTAATGAGCCACCAAATATTTTCTTCAAATGAACTTTCATAAGTAACGGATCAAAAATATATCTTTTGCTTACTTCTAATTTGAGAGAATTCCCCATGAGCAAAACATAGACAAAATGCAAAAATATGAGTACCATGTTTTGAATAGGAGTAACTTTAATGTTTGGACAAGTATACCCCTACCCAAGCCCCAACAACTTTTAATTAAATGTTTAATTCATAATAAATTCGAAAAAAAATCAAAAAATCGTAGAAAAATAATTAAAAAATTTATAAAATATTAATAAAATAAAAAATTTAAACAAATATTATTTTAAATTTTTAGTTTTTTAAAAAAATAATAAAAAACGGTAAAACTCCATAAAAAAATAAAAAAAAAATATGGATGCCTTTCCCACCGCCTGTACTACCTCCCTGCACCACCACCTCCGGGCGGTGAAAAAAATTTTCATTTTTCCTAAAAACTGCCTTTATTTTTTAAAATGCAAAAAACATGGCATATTTCTTTTTGCGAATGACAACATTTTCATTGTTTTCTGCCATAAATATGTCATTCGTAATGAACTTGGCATTTTTTTCCCTGGTGACTGGAGGTGGTGATGCTGAGGCGGCAGAGGCGGCGGTGAATTTTATTTTATTTTTTTGAGTTTTTTATTTTTTGTTTAAAAAATATATTTTTTAATTCTTTTAAAAATAAATAAATAAATAAATTATTATCGAATAAGTCATAAATTAACTAGGTTATGATTAAATAAGTCATATTTTAGAATTAACTAGGTTAGGGATATTAAGGGTACAAAATTAATGTTTACTCCTATTGAAGGAAGTTTTAAATTTTACTCTTATTTGTGCAATTATGTTTATATTTACTCCTATATTGAGCAATTTCTATTCTAATTTCTCAGAGCTAACCGACCGAATTCGATCTTCTTCTCTCCATCATCTTTAAATATGACCGTTACAATTAAATATTTTGAAATCCAAATGGGCCTGGCCCACATCAGGATTTCCACAACTCCATTCCGACTTTTCCTACAACTCCAAATAAATCCAGGTGGGCCCATTCTATTTGTTTAAAGGTGGACGTGGACACCATGTCCAAAGTCCTAACGCCTATTTTTGCGGTTAGATACGACTTTAATTTTATAGAAATAATAATGTGATTTTAATAATGTGATATAGAAAAAGTAAACCAAAAAAGTTGTAGTATGTACTTTGTACCGTAATACTAATAGTATGTATAGGATTTTTTGTCGCGTTTGTTTCTGTAAATTTAATTTTAATAATCTTTTATTGAAATTTGTAAGGAAGGGAGGGAATTAATAAGAATTATGAATTTTATTAATTAAAACTTTTGAGAATTTTACTTATATATTACCTTGTGAATTCTAATTTAAGAAACACAAAGTACAATCTTATACCACGTATATGAAAATAAGTGTACATACATCTTCTGTCCCAGAAAAGTTAACATTGAGTATATATTTTTATTTCAAAAATGATGTTTGTACACACTTTTGTACACACATATGTCTGTGAAAACTTTTTTATTTTTGTCTGTGAACATCTATTCATAGACAATGTTTTGCACAAACAAAATATTGTCTGTGAACCGGATTCACAGACAAAAAAAACTTCACAAACATGGTGTGTATAAGGTGTGTACAATTGTGTGTACATCAAAATTTATGGCTCTCCATCAAAATTTTGTTACCATTATTGCGTATATGTTCATTATTATTGTCTTTATTAACCTGATATTTTTTGCCCCCACAATACTCTCTCTCTCTCTCTTTGTGCATATAATTTTCGTCTTTTCTTTCTTCTTTTTCTTGCCATTTGTATGGTTTCCTAATTTTCTTTTTTCTTAATTAATTCGGACTGGGAGAAAGAAGAAAGGGGATTCTCCGAACCGTCCATCCCCCACAAGCAACGGCTTAGATCTCCTTGTCCAAACAGCATTCAAAATCTTCATCTGCCATCTACTACTGTTACTTCACTTGCCTGGCATCAATTTCACGTTAAGATTCTTGATTATTAACGAGATTTTTCGACATTTTAGAACGAAGAACAATTGTAAAGAACATGTTTGGGTAGGGCTCCAGGTTCTGTAAAAATGCCGGTTTCAACAAGGTCTCAGACCATCAACAGGCAATCACAGACTGACCGGAAACCTAGAACCAAGCAGGGAAATCGAGAATACGAACCAGTACCTTTCACGGCGACTATGAGGAACCCGCACCATGGATTGAAAGAGAAGATGAAAGCATTGACCCTCTTGTATGAGCAGCAAAAGAAAGCATCTATCGCACTCAAGAACCAATCTCTGAATTCGGAGGAGCCAAGAGTCAGTGCCCGCCCGAGCGTGGATCTCCTCGGCTCGGCCAAAAACGACGGAAAATTGGATTGCACAGAATCTAACAGACCGTTCGGTAATGTGATGAGGGAGAATGCTGAGCCTCGTCCCATACACCGGCAACTGCAGCTCGACGAGGGCAAGGAAAATGTGGCTGCTATTGTCGGCCGTGGAGAAATGATCGGGGGAATTTCTTTTACCAGGAAGCTCTCACTTGGCAACTCAATGCTTCCTCCAAATCCAGTGCCCACCAGAGGAGGGATTAATCAAGATAATAATGTTCAAGAATTAGAGAGATTGTCAGATAAGATGAGCCATGGCTGTGGTGGAGGGACCAGCAGGATTCTTGTATTTGTGAGGCTAAGGCCAATGGCTAAGAAGGAAAAGGATGCTGGAGCTAGAAGCTGTGTGAGGATCGTTGATGGGAGAGATGTTTATCTCACTGAATTTTCTACGGAGAATGACTATCTCAGGCTAAAAAGACTCCGAGGGCGGCATTTCACTTTTGATGCCTCATTCCCAGAATCTGCTACTCAACAACAAGTCTATTCCACAACGTGAGTTTAATTTTTTTTCTTTACCATTCATTTTCTTTTGGGTTTTGTGTGATTAATCTTCAGCTATATTCTCCTGCTTGGAACTAGTTTTCTGAATCTACATATTGTTCACACTCTCAAATACTTGCCAGATTTTTTCGGTGATGTATATTCTGCAGTTATATTGCTCTTTAGCTGTAGAATATTATAGGTTTTTAAGACATCCATATTTTAAATTGCGTTTGGGTCAGGCATTTTGGGATAGTTCAAATCAGTTTGACTTTTTTTTAACTCAATACTTTTTAGCAAGTCATCTGTAGAGATGCCAAGCCTTAAAGTGCTAAATGCAAATAGCTCCTCACTCATTTTAGGACTTGATTAGTAGTTTACGGTTTGTTCTGCAACAATCATTTTCTATTTTTTAGTGTCAATTTGGAAACGATAAACAGATGTGGTTGTGAACCAGTTTTTTATACTTCATATCTTTCTGTTATCGACTGCACCGGACTACTACTGCGTATTTACATTTACCATGTTATTGTCTTGTTTTAAGTGCTTAACATTATTGTCAAATTTTCTAACTACTGGAGCTCTAAATTTTATACCCTGACTTCAGAACAGCAGAGCTTGTTGAAGCAGTTCTGCAAGGTAGGAATGGGTCAGTCTTCTGCTATGGGGCAACTGGAGCAGGAAAGACACACACAATGCTTGGTACAACTGCAAATCCTGGTGTCATGGTCTTGGCCATCAAGGACCTGTTTGCCAAGATTAGGCAAATGAGTTTTGATGGAAATCATGTAGTTCATCTTTCCTATCTGGAAGTCTACAACGAAACAGTCCGAGACTTACTTTCCCCTGGAAGGCCTTTGCTCCTCAGGGAAGACAAACAGGTCTGCACACAAATTCTATCACTGTACTGGCAGTTTTTTTATGTACACCATCATATATACATTTTCATGTTTCTTGCATTGCAAAATCCATTTCTGGTACATTAATGCATCAATTTTTCTGTACTATATGTGTATTTCTAGAGACACAGATTAAATGTGTTCAACTTCATACTATTCATTTTCATTTCTTTATTTTAGTTTTTTGCTCTAAACATTTCAGGGAATCGTGGCTGCAGGCCTTACTCAATATAGGGCATATTCCACAGATGAAGTAAAGAACTCTTTTCAAGAACACTGGCATTTAGTTTTGTTTATTATTACGGAGTATAAGTTAGAAAAAACAATGCTGATTTGTTGTTAATCAATTGCAGGTAATGGCATTGCTTCAACAGGGAAACCACAACAGAACCACAGAGCCCACTCGTGCTAATGAAACATCATCACGTTCTCATGCCATTCTGCAGGTCATTGCAATTTATAGTTTTTTTTAAAACAATAGAAAAACTCACGGACGAAGTAAATTGCTACATGGTCCCTTTAGTCAGTGCGGAAATGGCATTATGGTCACTACAGTGTAAAATTGAATATCATTGTGGTCACAAGGGTCATTTTGTCATTGAGTATTAAAAATCATTCTTTTGTCCATTGTTATTATTTAGTCATATATTTTTCATTTTCCTCTCTTATTTGCATTAAAATTATTATTGTTATTATTATTATTACTATTATCATTGTTGTACTTTTTTGGAAAAAAGGAAAAAGGAAACATTTCACTCTTATCTTACATTGTTGTCTGGTTCAGGTTATGGTTGAGTATCGTGCCAAGGATGGTTCAGATAATGTTGTGAGCCGTGTTGGAAAGCTATCTCTGGTAGATCTTGCTGGGTCAGAAAGAGCGCTTGCCACGGATCAGAGAACACTGAGATCCTTGGAAGGAGCCAACATAAACCGGTCACTCCTAGCACTCAGCAGCTGCATCAATGCACTTGTCGAAGGCAAAAAGCACATCCCATACCGAAACTCTAAGCTTACTCAACTGCTTAAGGATTCCCTTGGGGGGGCTTGCAATACTGTTATGATCGCCAACATCAGCCCGAGCAACCTTGTTTTCGGTGAAACCCAAAACACACTTCATTGGGCTGATCGAGCTAAAGAGATCCGAACAAAGGTCAGTAATTAATTTGAAGTGTAACATTTCATAATGAACATGCAGTAATCATTATGAATATATTCATTTAATTTGAAGGGTAACATTTTCATAATTAATATGCAGTGATCATTAGTTATGTTCAAACTCAATTAAAAGTTTTCAGTGGTCATTTTTTGGAATACAATTTAAGGTTGCAGAAGCCTCTAATAAATCTGGCATTAACTTGGTGAGTAGTTCTATATATGAATAAGTTATCTAAATCCGAAGCTCTAATTTACATTTCTGATTTAAACCAACAGGAAACCATTTGCGAGAAATTATGTGTATCCTAATGCTTCAGAAACCAAGTTGTGTTTTGTTGTTGAATGCCAGTAGCGGTGCATTATTATCTTCAAAATTCCTTTTCATTCTTTCTGTTTGAAGTGCAGCATTTTCATAATGCCACTTCTTAAGTACTCCTTTTTTATTATATGTTTTTTGACTTTTTTTCACAATGCCACTTCTTAGTTACTCGTTTTTTTATTATATGTTTTTCATAATGCCACTTATTGCCTTTATCGCCATCATTTCATTAGCTTTTATGCATATGCTTAATACAGGCTTATGATACACATGAGGAAGTGCAAATTCCGGACACGGAAACTGATCAGGCCAAGCTATTACTTGAGTTGCAAAAAGAGAATCGTGAATTGCGTACACACTTGGCTCGCCAGCAGCAAAAACTGCTAACCATTCAATCTCAAAATTTGGCAGCAAATGCATCTCCTGTTCCTTCTACGGTTTCCTCTCACCTATTGTCCCCTGCACCAACCCCACCTGCTTGGCCATGTGAGAAAAGAAATAGTAGACCCTCTTTCTTAGGTGGTAATTGCTTCACCCCAGATTCAAAAAAAAAGGCAGCAGATGAGACAGTTAAGGAGCTGAGAAAAACAGTAAAGACACTTGAGGCAGAAATCGAGAGAATGAAGAAGGATCATGCATCTAAAATTAAGCAGAAGGATAGTGTTATTCATGAGCTTTCACGTAAGACTACAAAACCAGTAGGTGGGGGAGATGTTGTGAAGAGGGTGATCACAAGGGCCAGCTTGAGGCCAAAGAAGCCAAACGAAGATGAGTTGAAGAGTCCACGTCATCGTTTTGTATCTCCAGCCCCCACTTCTAAAAAGCGTAGCTTTTGGGATACAACTACTGCAAATAGCCCATCACCATTTAATGGGAGAAAGACCAGAAGCCATGTTATAGCAGCTCCATCCAAGCTTCTCCAGGTGAAGTTTACTTCTGCATTGCAATATTTGTTTTTTTTTTGTTAAATCCTTAGGGTCACTTTGGATGAAGGTATTTGTGGAGGGATTTGGAGGGGAAGACTTCGGAGGGATCAGTCAATATCTTGATAGATAGAATGTTTCTAAAACTATTAAATGGTAATCTGAAATGTGTTATGATAACAACTTATGTCATCCATTTTTCTTTTATAAAATCCAAACGTATATCAATATATAGTAGACTCTAAGACCTCCAAAACCTTCCCTTTCAAACCCCCTCCATTCATGAGCATAGCCCGGACTTTCAAAATTTTGAAGTTGGGGTGTGCCGGAAAAATTATTCATTCCTATGTATTATTATAGATTTTTTTTTTAAACATGGGGTGGGTGAGGTATGACAAGACGAATAAGACGAACACAAGTTATGAATGGTGCTGCTTGGTCAACTTTGGAGTATACCAGAAAGCTTGGAAATTGTAACTAGTTATAATTAAAAATTGTGTGCTTGTACTTATAGGGAAGAGTAAATTGTTATAATAAAACCACTTAAGGAATAAGCACCATGAGATATGCTTTATACCAAGTGACTTTAGAACTGTTTGGTTGTAAATTCTTCATCTAGTTATTTATAAAGAAATTGACCAGAATTGGAGTAGAAACAATGGGTATCCAAAACCAGGAGTATGATGTTATTTCCCGCTAAATAAGAGTAATAATTGTCATGTTTGGAATTACTATCAATTATGGACATATGGTATTAATATTGTCATATTTAATGTCCGGTAATGCCAAAATATAATAATGCCCATATTAATGCATGTAGTGCACAAATGTGTCAGTATAATTTCAAGATGACAGTTATTTGCATCTATTCAGGGGGGATATAGCACTCCTATTTCGGAATTTCACATCGCTTTTAATCCTTTTTTGGGAGATTTTCCTAATATATACTCCCTACATCCCTTAAATCTTTGTCAAGTTTGACCGACACGGGGATTAATAAAGTAAAAACTGTGTGGTTGAGGTTTGTGCAACGGAGAGAGAATAAATTGAAACTACAATTTCTTTATTTAAAAGGGAAAGTTGCGAAGTTAGTGGGACATCCAAAAAGGGAAAGTTGTCAAAGTTTTAAGGGACGGAGGTAATATAATGTATGCATTTGTTTGAGCTGTTTTCCTATCTCCCGGAACTGATGCACTTGCATGTCCTTGTTTTTATTTAAATTATACATCACTCAGCCAGGATTCGCAGGATGGACAAGGCCTGAAATTGTAAAGCTGTAGAGAGTGTAGAGCAAAGATTAGCAGAAATGTCGGGCCAACAGGTACACATCATCAGTCCAAACGAGTCAGAAGTTTTTTGGTGCTAATTTTCGTCACGCTGAAAGAAGTTGAATTCGTCGTTATTCATGTTGATGGACTGCGGTCAAATGATATAGTTTATCTTCTCCAGCAAGGAAGCAAACCTTCCGCAAAGTAGTGACACATCCATGTTAATATAGTATACTCTTTCTTGCCAAAACACAAGGTTCCCTGCAGAATCCATTAACAACCTGATTATATCTTAACATGAAATGACATGTCCCCCGATTGTTAGGGTCTGTTTCGTCCTCTTAGGTCTTTGTTACTTGAAACTCGCATCGTGTTTTTTTGTTGTATATCTTAGGCATTGTTTCAGAGTAATTCCATCTGCTCTGCATTGTTTATATATGAATGCTCAATCAGGCATGCCTGACCCTTATTATTATGGTGTTGCTTGTTGTCATTTTTTGGGTTCTACAAGCAAAGTTTAATGACAATAATCTAGTAAATCTCGTGTTCAAATCATTCGTCTCATTTTGTCTGCTGCTCCTCATAACCAATGCGAGATTTTCCTATAATAGTTGCATAGTATTATTGAAATAAAATTTTACTGAAAAAAATTATATTTAAATTCTATTTTTATTAATAAAGTTAAGAAAAAATATATGAAAATAACTAAAATAGTATTTTCCAGTAACTTAAGTTGATCTAGGCAGAAAAATACCAACTTTACTTATTTGATTATTAAATAATTGAGGTCAAAATCAAACTACATATGATAAAAATGTTGAGTTAACACTTGGGGGTAGCTGAATTGTACATAGGTGGGAAAGTTCGGGCATTAATGACCTTGGATCAAACCTCATAGTGGTCGTGTGGAGGACACAATTATTGTGTGTTGGATAGAGCCTTTGGTGTACACGAAGAGTATATGATATATCACCGTTAAAATTGATAGAATCATCGATTTGACACATATGCTTAAGGTTTGGTGAGTCGGTCTTTGGGGTTGAGAATTCAATCTTTTTTGACAATGATAAAAAATGTTGAGTGATGATTCATGAGTTGAAAATATAGATTAGGAAACAGTTTCCAAATGGAGGTTAAGATAGCTGGACAATGTCAAATTTTGGTGAAATTAATAAAGTTCATGTTGCCACATCCCAACACGAAAAGGACACAAATATGAGGAGGGTAATAATGACGACTCCTGCCTGCCAAAAGATAAATGCAATGCTAGCCATTGGTGAGTGGAACCCAACAAATAACTTAACGTGTAGATTCTATTCTACTAGTAGCTTATACCCATGCCACCAATTATTGGCCTGGACAATAATAATTGATATCACGGCTGGCCTTGTTCAATTCCTTGCATGAAGGATTCGCCTATAGATGGAAATAAAATACGCAAAACACAAAGCAAAAAAAGAAAAGAAGACATGCAATGAATTGAAGTACTAACTAATTAACCTTATGGCTGGCCTGGCCTTAATCGTCAGATCACATGCATCCATATATAGTAGCTAGGATTAATGCATGCATGCATCATTCATGATTGCATGTTAATTAATTAAACTCGATCCATTATCTCTTCTGAGAATGTAAAGACTGAGCTCAGCAGGAGCATGGCTGTCTGCAGGGTTCATCATGTACAGTGCTTCTGAATCTCTACACCCCACCACTCTCTCAAACTTGGCTCTCATGTACATCACTTCGCCGCCGCCAATTATGGGTGGCAGTACCCCCGCGCCCGTGCTGATAGCCTCCACGCACTTCAAAACCTCCCACTCTCTTTCCCCGCATTCTCGTCTGCTGTTCCCCAACCCACACTTCTTCCCATTCAAGTATGCCATCCAAACACCCTCCTCATCTATTACCCTCCCCCTCTCTGCCGCCTTCTTCCTCTCACACTCCAGGGCAACCCGGACCTGCCCCGAAGCCATCTCCCGAACCAGGGAGGATATTGGGGTGGCTAGCTCCACCAAGAACACCGGCTCTGAAGTGGGATCCTTCTGGAACGCGAATTGCACGTGGGCCCCGCGCCTGGGGCCGAAAAGGGTCCCTACCAGCAGCCTCCTCCTCCTGCCGCCGCCTGCCAGCTGGTTCATCAACACCGAAGTGACTGAACTCAGCCTGTTCTTCCCGATCGAACTCAGCACTGATTTCAGCTTACTGGTTGTGCCTGCTGCTGATGATGATTCTTGGTTCAGCTTCTTGTTGCTGTCTACTGCTGATGGGTTGTTTTTGGCTGGTTGTTCTTGATCAGGAGATGAATCGTCCTCTGCTTCCCCACGGTTCTGTTTGACGCCATCTTCATCCTCTTCCTCGTTCCTGACTTTGGTTTTCCAGTGGAACTGCAGTCTCTTGGAGGGAAAATCAGCTGCTTGGTGGAGGATACTCTTATAAGCCATCATTTTGTCTAGCTTCATCCAAAAAGACCGCTAACTAGCTAGCTAGGAATTGAATGAAGGAGCACACTACCTTTAGTTAGTATTTTTTGGGTTAGAAATATCAGAGTACTGTCTGTAGTAGGAGGAGAGTTTGGTCCCTCTTAATAAGCTATTCCCTCTGATCTGTCCCTTGTCCACTTTAATTTCTCTTTATCCTTGGCGTCTCTGCAGGATGTCTAGTCCTCTTAAACCCTATTACATGTGGATACCATTTTTGTCTCATAAAAAGGGGATTTACATATCTGCATATTTATTTTTATTTTCATTTTTATAACACATTTAAACCATGTTCATCCACTTTTGTTCTTCCAATTCATGTAAAGTCTATGTGTGGACATTGTCATAGACATTATTATCTATACTGTATTTCTATTTGTCTCATATTTTTCATTTTTTCCTATACTTCACTTTCTCTATATTAAATTAAAATAATAATCTTATTTCTATCTCTCTTATGTCACAGAGGATAGACTTTATTACACTGTACCATCCCATTGGAGATGGTCTTAAGTTATTGACATTGTCTCGATTTAAAAATAACACTAGTTTCATTCTAATTAATTTTAAAGTTGTTCAACCTTCTAGGGCCTATATGGTAATACTGAAAAATAGTCGAATCGGCTGAATTTGCTTTGATGAAATTTTGGCTAAAATCAGCGAATCGTCTGAATCCGGTGAGTTATGAAATTCAAAAACAGCTAAAAAGTCATTTCAACTGTATATATTTTGATTAGTACACAATTCAATACTTCGTATAAATAATGTGGTAATGTAGTACTCCCTCCGTCCTCCTAACAATGGGCCAAGAGGGAGTGACACACGAATCAATAAAAATGGTTCATGTGATTGATATTGAATTGATAAAGTAGGAATAAAGTAAGGATGATTTAGAACCACACAAATTTTATCGAATTTGATATGGGACAATTTTAATGGGACGAGCCGAAAAGGTAAAATGGGACAATTTTAACGGGACCGATATAATATCAAAAATAAAGGAAAGAAGTTTTGAAAAAGAAGAAAGGAATGTGAAAGAGGCACTGGATTGGTAATTTCACTTTGTTGTGATTAGTTTGACTAATTCACTACTCACTCACTCACTCTATCTCTGTCTGTGGCCGGCCGGCTTCGATCCCAACTAAAAGAAAAAGGAAAAGGGGAATGAGTGAGTGATGGTCACAAAATGACAAATATCTGTCACTGTTCATTCTCGACATAGCTCCTGCCGCTTGTCTTCTTCATATTCTTCTCTGCACACCGGACCAAACGGCAGGTCACAGCGGCCGGCAACCACTGCCTCCGGTTTTGGCAGTTTTTGAGACGTAGCTATTCCCATCCCTCTCAAAAGCTATGACTGATGTGGAACCAAACGTCATCACGCCCACCATCCTAGGCTACGCCAAAATAATTATTCATTGCTTCATATTTCTTTCGTCATTTCTTAATTTTTAATTGCAACTCTCAATTTTTCAAGTTTTTCAGTTTATAAGTTTGACCATTAATCTCTTTGATTCTTTATTAATAAAAAAATTAAAAAACTCAGATTTTGATTCTTTAAAATTTAATTTGTAATACATTAATAAGTAAAATATAGTCAAACTAGAATGCGTGAATAGTGTAAAAAGTTAACTAACCAAATGAACTCCAACAAATACTACGTATTCCATTCAAATGTTTTACAAAGGCCTTAAGCGTGACAAGTGTCAAGTTTCAAATCTTTAAAGTCTAGCCGAATACAAATGGAGTTCAGATCTTTGAATTAAACTTTTACTTTATTCTATATATCTACGGTCTACGGAGTATAATTTTTAAATCTAAAAAGAGTGCAAATACAAAATGATGTAGGGAAAGTTCTTAAAATAAGAGTACATAAGTTTTGAAATTTAAAAATATAACTGTTATATTTTTCTTATCAAAAGAGAAGTAACATGATGCTACGTAGTATTTATTGTCATTTTGTAATGTCAAATAGTTGCAATACTACGTATTAAACGTGAGAGTTTTTACTATCATTAATGACAATATTTTTCAGTCACGATAGTGTTTTGCAGTCATGGTAGTAACAACTCCTATTTCGAGAAAAAAAACATAGCAATCATATTTTGAAACTCCAAAACTTGTTTACTTCTATTTAGGGAAATTTCCTATTACGATAGTGTTTACTTGTTTACTTCATATTTAGGGCCCGCACAGTACCGGGCCGGGTGGCCCGAACCGAATCCATCCCTAGCCCGGGCCCACTACTGTGCGGGAACGGGACCGGCCCGGTTCTCGGGTCCGGGTCCAGGTCGGGCCTAGGCCCGGGGGTAGGGCGGGTCCAAACTCGGGTCTCACATTTGGCGAACCGGCCCGGCCGGGTCGGGCCCGGGCCAAATTGATTTTATTTTTCATTTTTGGGGTTCCACCCGGGTTGGACTTGATGGTTAGGATGGGTTTGGGGGGGGGGGGTTGGGAGGGTGGGGGGTGAGGGGGGGGGGGGTTGGGAAAGCAAAAAAAAATACCCAAACCGGAGGCCCGGCCCTGCCCGGGTCCACCATTCTTGAACCGTCGGCCCGTCTGAGCCTAGGCCCGACAGGGACCCGGCCCGGACCCGAGTCCACCCCTACTCTGTCTCTTCTCCCCATCCTCAAGTCACCTAATAGGTGCATCACTCGATCTTCTACGCACATGCCCAAACCATCGTCCATCTCAACAACGTGTCTTGTGTATATTCGTCAAAAGGTAACAGACCAAATTATTCCAGTCACTTCTTCCCTCCTATAGTCCTATTCTCAAGTTCTCCCTTCCATTTAGTTAAAGTTAATCATCTTATATTTGAGTTCAAGTGAAAACAAACATAAATCTATTTGGCATTGCATCATTAATTCTTGTATTTGTTATTCTTAGTTCCAACTCCCCTTCCTGCGTTACCCTTTAATATACGTAGTATTATAGTTTCAATGTTTAGTTTCGTAACGTTATCTACGATATGAAATTTTCCATTAGATAGCTTAGACATAGACTTTATATTATTATTATTTACTTGTTTTATTTATTCCAGTTTTTTCTTTTTATTAATTTGTCATTGTTGTACAGTCATACGTTATAAACATTGAATATGAAAGTTCCAGTGTAATTAATTTGAGAGTCCCGAGAACCGTAAAACAAAAATAAAAATGATCCGAGAACTGTTAAAACAAATGAGATGCAATTTCAAACGTTATGGCATTATGCAGTGATGTTAAGACTTAAGATTCTACAAAGAAAACACCACATACGGGAAGTTGAGTGAAAAAAGCCCCCAATCTGCACCGCACCTTCCTCACCACCAAGTGCATCAAGCAATTTACAGACAAATAAATATGAACATACTATTATAGCTAGTTTACGCAGATCGAATGCAATCTAATCATCCTAGCTACAGACCTTTATACAAAGTGCAGGATAAATAAAAATGCAAAAAAAATAAAGCTAAAGGTATAGTGCTTGAGTAAAGCACCAGGATGTGGTTTGGTGATGAAAGTTAGCCGTCAGTGGTTTTTTGTTCCTGCTCAGAATTTGACTGTGTGGGAAGCGTAATGCCAGTGTTCATCCTTGCCCTTGCCTCCGCAAACATCCTCTGCTGCGCAGCTAATGCTTCTTCTTCAGTCATTTCAGCTCCTCCATTGCTCAACTTCCCCATCCTAACATTGTCCTGCTGAAAATCACATAGTACGCTTATGAAATAATAATATTTTAACAAATTGCAATGGCTTAACTGCTAAAGGAAAATGGCGTCTATCGGTTAAACTTCAGCTCAGCAATTACCATGGTTTCCAGCCTGTGTTGTTCATATGCAGCGTAAACTTCTTTGATATATTCCCCAAAGCCAAGAACCTGCCCCCGATAGTACGATCATCAAAATCAGTCGAAAAGAAAAAAGAACAAGCATAACTATATACTCCAATATAAGCTTAAAGTGCTGCACCTCACACAAACTTCACGTGATTGCTAAATGGGATTGTGAAATATAAAGGAGATTCAATTACTCTGTATTTTAATGAAACTATCATAAATTGTTTCACAAATTATACTATTGAACTATAAAACATGATGAGTGCCCATTGTGTCAACTTTAAGCCTATGCATCTAAGCAACTTAGATACAATACAGAAGAGATAGACACATTTTAAAGGGACAGAAGGCAACTTGTGTTTTGTTTTTCCTGACACAGTTTTTTTATATATTACAGAGATCACACAGAAACTAGAATAAAAATCAGATAAAAAGATACAACAACAACAACATCCAAGCCTTAATCCCAAAAGAATTTGGGGTCGGCTAACATGAATCGATCTATGATATCGATGCCAAAAAGAGAAGGCGGACAAGAAAAGGAAAAAAAAGTAAGATAAAATGAATAAAATAAAGATACATAAATATAAGATAACAATAACACAAGAATATAACCAAGATAAAAGAAAAAGAAATAAAAGAACATAAAAAAGCTAGAAGATAAAAATAACATAAGAATATAAGACCCTTATAGAACCACCTTTGTTTTTTTTTCATAAGCTAGAAATTATTTAATCCTTATTTTAGAAAGGTTAATAGATCCAACAATGTATCCTTACATTGTAATTTACGGCTCATTGGCCAATAATATACAGATATGACAGTGATAGACGAATTTGGTTGTGGTAGCCAGAAATTGTGGTTTTCGGCATCTTTTCCTATGGTAATTTTTTCCTAAAAAAAATTCCCTAAAGCAATTTTCAGGAAAGTTTTCTTGGTGATATTTCTGATGTCGGCGGTGGTCAGTTTAAGGTAGTTGGTAGCATTTAATTACTAAATGGTCATTCACATCATGTATATTTGGTCCCATATATTTTGGAGTACTATTTGTATAACAAATACGGAGTATTACATTTTAATCCTATCCATGAAATTTTCTACACCTAAATTAAGAGCTCCAAATCACAGTGAACATCTCAACGAACTCATGTGGACACTCCTCAGCCTGAGGAAAATATCTCAAATATGCATTTGAGGCCCATTTTTCTTTTCTTTGCTGATTCCTCTCGATGAAATTTTCCATGTAATTAGTTAGTTAGTTACCAATGTCAGTGAACAATAATCAAACTTTACTCCCACAGAAATAGAAAAAGGGTATGAAATACTCTGTAAGTAATTAACCATGACAGCACAAATGCACAATACAAGCTCCGTACATCAGAGCTTAAGAAGACATAAATAAGATTGCATGCATCAAGAATGCAATCTTGCCAATTCATCCAAACATCACCAAAATACATAATCAATCTTGCATAACTCTGAGAACATAATGAAACATAAAACTACATGCAAGAATTGTAAGGATGTAGCAATTCATGTAATCCCTGACAAATCATCACCAGCAAAAGAAACCAAATTTATCCAAGCAGAAAAAGACTTGCCAATTACCTCTAGTGCCTTGAGAACATGTTCTGGTGCAATTGTTCGCTTATCTTCTCTATTACAAACTTCATTAGATTCAGAAGAAATCAGATTTATGAATTCTGCAATTGAATAGACATGAGAACTTTATAATCCAAAAACAGAACTGAAGAATTAAACTATAGTGACATACAACCATGATTCAAATGCATGAAGTTATAAACAGGAGTAGAATATGCAGCACTCACCTACGCAACATTCAATCAAAAGGTCTTGACAATCCCGAGCTACACGGACATCTGGAGGCAGCATTTCTTTAATGATTTTTGTCATAGTTGCTGTAAAGCAGCCATAAGCATTACTGAATCAATTTTTTTTCCCTTGTTACACTTTTTTCACACTCAGCACAACACCATACGTCCATACCCCTTGAAAACAAGCTACACACTTGAAACCCTAAAAACATACTACAAAATTCTTAAACATGGACCCCCTTAAATCCCTTTAATAGATATCTCCATTAAGCTTCCAACTACATATGATAATTTTGTTTTTCGCATACTCATAAATTCTTAACATTGGGTATTAGTTTGTGAATTTTTCTTTGTATTGTAGAGTACATAAAGGTTACGGGCACATAAAAATAAAAATTCGAACTAGTGCGAATCAAAATAATAATGAAAAAAAAGCTTCAACGTTTTGAAATTAACGTTAAACCTTTAGGAAGCGAAGCATCCTCTTTCGTTCTACCAACTATGTCCATAGGGTCCATTTTTTCCTTCAGATCCAAGTCAAATCTGCACATGAAAATCGAGTCCAATAATATATTACTTAGTGTCTTGATATATAAACAAAACGATAATCACAGATCTACAGCTTAGAGATAACTTGAAATAAAAATAGATTTCCCTTACCAACAAAGGCAAGTCGGAGAAAGGGGAAGGATATGACGTGAATTGCAAGGCCAATCAGCCGATTGCAAACGACCGAGAAGCTGATGAAGATGATCGGAGTAGTCTCAGGCGGCGGTGGTGCATGGTGGATATAGAGAGCCGTGGGAAAACTCCCAGGAACGTGAATCTTCACGCGCCGGAAGGTAGATGCGGGTCACGAAACATACGGGGCCCATAAGAAGAGGTCGTTAAGTGAGCGTGGATAACACGTGCGTACAAATAGAGTTCGGGAGCAAGGGAGGAGAAATAGAAGACGGTGTTTGCATTTGGTCCAAAAAGGTGGAACTCCCCCCACGAGCCCCCGACCCGACAGAATGGTGGGGACTAAATTACGGTGACTCAGTCAGCAAAGCGATAGTAGGTCTTGTCCCGTACGCACCAAAAGTCCAGCCTAACCTTCACATGGCTGCTGCGGGTTTCGAACCTTGATCATTTGATACAATTTTCCCACCACTCGACCAACTGAACTACCCGTGCGGGTAAAGACGGTGTTTGCAAAGTCCGTGATGATGTGGGAGTTTAATCACAATGATTGATTGCAAAGGTTACAAGCAAGACAACTTCTAACCTATCGGGTAAAAACTGGATCGGAAAACCACCGGGCCGAATGACGGGGTCACTGGTCAACCTCGATCCGTTAGATCAATCCGATCAAAGCTGGAAAATCCAGTCAACCTATGGAATAATATTATTATTATTAAATGTGCTATTTTTAAAAATATATAAAATGTAAGTAAAACTATTATTCCAAAAGATGTATACTACAATTTTTAATATGATATAAATGTACTTAAAATTAGATGGAGACTAACACAAATATAATGCTTATTAAAAATACGGAGTATTAAAGTATGATATCTGTTGGGTATTGGACCGAAGGCCCAATACTCGGATCAAAGGCCCAATATATCCAGCCCAATAAACGGGCCCAAAATCCAGAAGATGAACAGGCTCACAGAGAAATATGTACCGAATGGGGTTCAGGTCAACCAATGTACTTGGGCCAGATCAATGATAATTCCAGCAGGGTCCATTACCCGTTCGGGCAATGGGCAGCCAGCAAGTGGCAGGAAGCATTTATTGCTAGAGTATGGCGGCAACAAGTGAGAATATGGGCTTTCAAGTGGCTGGATTAGCAACCAATTAGCATGAAACACTCCATACCCCCATTAGTATAAATAGAAGGATTAACTTCATTGTAAAGGGTAAGATTTTTGAGACTCAAAGCCTAGAATAGCTTAATTACTTTTGTACTTGTATTAATCACTATTCCGATGTACCGTTCGGGAAGTTCTTGTGTAATCAGTGAATTATCTAATACAAGTGGGCTTTTAAGCGTTATATTATCCATCTTTTATATTTTCTTATACACTGAATTCGTGACTATTTCCTGAAATATCCAAAGTTCGTGTTGGGCTTTCGGGTCTGCGGGACTTAACCTCAACATTGGCGCCGTCTGTGGGAAACAAACAAAAAGTTTCACACCAATCACTCACATAAAACAACCTTTTATCAAAATGGTCAGAATCACTTCTCATCACACCGGTGAAACCTCAGGAAGACGCAGGGAAAGTCAGACCCCCCAAGGGCAATCCAGCCAGGGACCCTACCCGTACTTTGATGGGGATTTCTTCATCCCCGAAGCTCTCAGGAGGAACCCCCACGCCATGCGAGATTTCACTTAGGTCATGTAGCACCTGGCGGATGAGCAGGATGGGGGACGATCCAGCTATACGGGGGAAACGAGATACACGACCCCATCCACGATGCAATCATTCCAAGAGGAAACTACCGATACAGAAACCACCACGGCTTCAAATCATTCCTGAGCCCACCGGGGAGAGTACAGAAGGGCTCATACGTCTGGGGGTAGGCATCACACTCCCAGTGACCACACCCCGACTGGGTCAGAAGCTAGAGGAGATACGCCGGTTGGGCGCCATTTCCGTTATGAACATGATAACGCCTGATCCGGACAGGGACGTCAGAATTAGAGAGCAACCCCACCAGAAGGAACTAGGGAGTTTGTTAACCTGGGAACTCCACCACCACCTCCCCTAACGGCCCAGGAGGAAGAGATGGCCGAAATGAGGAGGCAGATGAATGAAATAAGGGACCAAATGAACATGACGCCTCTACAACCTACCCTAGTGCAGGTCGGGATCACTTCCCCCTTTACCCGAGAAATAATGGAGGCTGAAATCCACAGGGATGCCAAACCGCTGACCGGTCAGATATATGACGGGGTGGGAGATCCCCACGTGCATTTAAGGAGTTACCAGGGGGGCTTATGCTGTTGGGAGCAACAGAGGCAGCCATTTGCCGGCTTTTCTTCAGCACGCTTAGGGGACCTGCCCAGGAATGGTACGGGACCCTGCAGCCAGGATCGATCGACAACTTTGCTGGATTATCATCCTTATTCCTGGCCCAGTTTGCTTCCAGTGCCACCCCAAAACGGCATTTCAGCTACCTGACTAGTGTTAGGCTGGGATCGAAGGAGACCCTAAATCAATTCCTGAAAAGATGGAGGGACGAAACCCTGAAAGTTGGGAACATGACGGATGATACAACCATCACCCTATTCACTAATACTCTCTGAACGGGTGAACTGTATAAAGACCTGAAAAAGAATTTGGGCACGGTGTATTCCGAAGTGCTGGACAGATCCCGAAAGCATGCAACTCTCGAGGAGGAAATCATGATCAAGGATAAGGTAGCTACACCCCCTGCCCCAACAAAATTGGCCGATCGGCTGGGTCCTATTCCAGCGGCCGCTCCTCCTCCAAAGCCAAGACGATTCACCCCTTTGGTCCTGTCTGTTGCGACCATTTATCAGAACGAGAAGGACAACATTCCCCTTCCAACTGATACCAAAAATTATATGGGGGCAGATGAAAATGCCTTTTGTAAATACCACACCATGAAGGGTCACTCCACCCAATCCTGTCGGGCATTACAGATAGCAATTGAGGACTTGATCCAGACGGGTCATCTGGATAAATATGTGAATAAAGACCTGAATGCTGTAGGCATTCTGAAGCCGGACAAAAGACCCAACAGCTAGAGGCGGGATGCTCAGCGTGATGCTCACCCCAGGAATGATGTGTATATTCCCTAGGGACGAGGCAGAGGGTTCGGGGAACCCGGGTAAAAAACCCAGAATGGAGGTGAAGGTTATATTTGGGGGTGGGGAGACAGGTGACTCGAACGCCGAACGGAAGAAATTCGAACGGAGCCTCTACATGGGCTCTGTATCCACGCCACCCCAAAAGAAAGGCAGAACGGAGCAGATCACATTCGGACCTGCGGATTTGCCCAATTCACCAAGCCCGCACAGGGACGAATTGGTCATAAGCATGTGCATAGATAATGCATTGATTCACCGAGTGTTGGTAGACACTGGGAGCAGTGTGAATGTATTGTATCTACAATCGTTCGAGAAAATGGGCCTACAGAGAAACCAACAAACTCACTTGAGGACACCGCTCGCGAGCTTCACGGGGAATTGCATTGAAGCTGAAGGCACCATCCAGTTGATGGTTGAGATTGGAGATGAAGCACACAATACATCGGTCCGGATGACATTCGTGGTGGTGGACATCAAATGTGCCCACTATGCCATTCTGGGCCGACCGGGGTTGGAAGATCTGGAGGCGATAGCCTCTGTCCGCCACTCATGCATCAAGTTCCCCACGGACACAAGGGTTAGAGTTAGAGTGGCCAGAACTGATCCAGCAACAGCCCGAACCTGCTATCGAGAGGCCTTGAAAAATATGAATTCCCGAGGGATGCGGGTTAACAGTATTGAGGTTGAAACTCGCCGAACAAAGTTCGAGGCACATCCTGAGCCTGCTACCCTCTTAGAGCAGATTGACATCGACTCTCCCCCCAACCGAAAAATGGCGATCGGGGGGTGGACCTGGAAGCTGGAATTCGGGAGGTGTTATCATGGTCCTGAAGAAATTCCAAATGTTATTCGTTCGCGGCCTAGAAGACATGCCTGGCATTGACCCGGCAATAATCTGCCATAAGTTGGCCGTTCGGCCTAATGCCAAGCCGATTCAGCAGAAGAAAAGATATCAAGCTGTCGAACGGCGTGATTTCACTAAGCAGGAAGTTGCCACCTTACTACGGATCAAACACATCCGGCTAGTTATCCACGTGGAATGGTTGTCGAACGTTGTACTAGCACCAAAGGGATCCACCTCGAGAATGTGTGTAGATTACTCTGATCTGAATAAAGCCTGTCCAATGGATTCCTATCCGGTGCCACAGATTGATCTCTTAGTAGATGAAACAGCTGGGTGCGAACTACTGAGTTTCATGGATGCCTTCCGGGGATATCATCAAGTCTTTATGCACCCAAACGATGCGGAGAAAACAGCATTTGTCACGTCAGATGGCATATTTTGCTTCATTGTGATGTCGTTCGGGTTAAAAAACGCCATGGCTACCTTCCAAAGAAAGATTGGGATACTTTTCAAAGAAGTATTGGGGGTAACGATGGAGGCTTACGTAGATGACATTCTGATCAAAAGCCGAAAGAAGGAGGATCACGTCCCGAACATGGAAAAGGTGTTCGGGATAATGCAAAAGGCAAACATGAGACTGAATCCCAAGAAATGTGTCTTTGCAGTCAAGGGGGGCAAATTCTTGGGTTATATGATGAGTGAAAGGGGTATAGAGCCTAACCCAGAAAAGGTGAAGGCAATCATGGATATGGAAGCTCCAAGGAACCTTAAGGAAGTTCAGATATTAACCGGCCGATTGGCAGCCTTAAGCAGATTTTTGTCCAAACTTGCCGACCGAGCAATCCCATTCTTCCAGATTATGAAAAAGGCAAACCTCTTTGAATGGACTGCCGAATGCCAAATGGCCTTCGACGAATTGAATTTGTATCTTTCTTCTCCCCTGGTCTTAACAAAAGCTGACCCAGGGGAACACATGTATATGTATCTCGTCGTGGCCGATCTGGCTGTAAGTTCAGTGTTGCTAAAAGAAGAAGATGGCATCCAACGGCCCATTTATTTTATGAGTAAAGCCCTGAATGGGACGGAGACCAGGTACACCCTAATGGAGAAAACGGTATTGGCCCTAATAACAGCCATCAAACGGCTTGCACCCTATTTTCAGGCACATCCAATAACCGTTTATACAACTCAGCCGCTAGCTACCATCTTGAGAAATCCAATGGCTAGCGGG